ATTTCTATTGCACAAGATATGGGAAGATTTCATTTGCTTACTTCTTTGAGCATTCTTCGTTGTGAAAAAGTAAGGAGCATATCAGAAGAGTACCTGAGTGGCCTTAATAGTTTGAAGAATGTAGAGATGGGTCCTTTTTGGTCAGAGCTAGAGGAATTCCCTGGACTTGGACTAACTTCCATCCCTCACCGCAACATCTCTATTGAAACTTTGTTTTTGGACGGATGGGATAAAATAAAGTCTTTGCCACATCAGCTTCAACATTTTACTGCCCTCAGAGAATTACAGATACGCAATTTCAACGGAGTGGAAGCTTTTCCAGAGTGGTTGGGGGACCTCTCTTCTCTTGTTTCTTTATCGATTTGTTCATGTAACAAATTGAATAGAATTCCAGAGGAGTGCCTGGGTAGGCTCACTCGCTTGAAGCAATTAACGATGGGTCCTTTCTACTCAGAGTCGGAGGAATTTCCTGGACTCACTTCAATCCATCACCTCCACGCCTCCCTTGAAAATTTGAAATTGGTTGGATGGGATAAACTGAAATCACTGCCATATCAGCTTCAACATCTCACTGCTCTTAAGGAACTGAGGATATTTTCATTCACCGGAGTGGAAGCTTTACCAGAGTGGTTGGGAAACCTCTCTTCTCTTACTTCTTTAAGCATTTATCGGTGTAACAAATTGAAGAGCATTCCAGAGGAGTGCCTAGGTAGGCTCACGTGCTTGGAGAGCTTATCGATGGGTCCTTTCTGGTCTGAGTTGGAAGAATACCCAGGGCTCTCTTCCATCCATCACCTCCACGCCTCCCTCAAAGATTTGACTTTGGAAGGATGGGATAAACTAAAGTCACTGCCACATCAGCTTCGACATCTCACTGCCCTCCTGCTATTGACTATAAATCGATTCAATGGAGTGCAAACTTTACCAGAGTGGTTGGGAGACCTCTCTTCTCTTCGGTTGCTTGAGATTCTTGATTGTGATAATTTGACGCATCTGCCTTCTGTTAAAGCCATGCATCGTCTCTCCAACTTAGAAACTTTTTATATTGGAAATTGTTCCAAATTAAAGGAAAGATGCGCTAAAGAGAGGGGCCCTGAATGGCCCAAGATTTCCCACATTCCGCAAACCTACATCGGGTAGATGACCCTGCAATCCCTAAAGGATCTAGGTTTTGAAGAGAAGAGGTACGTTTAATTTAATTTATCAAAGCTAATCTAGTGAGTGCTCAAATTCTTTTACACGTTTCTCCAATTGAATAGCTCTTAATTTATTTTGTTTGAATTTACAGGGCTCAAATAATTAGCAAATTATGCCATGGAGAAATAACCAGAAGCTTTCACTTTAAAGGTCTGCTTTTATTTCTCATTTTTTAATTTTTTTTTTATTTATGATCCGCTTTCATATTTTGATGAAAAATGAATTCAACAAGGAAATATAGGTATCTTTGCATTTACATAACAGTATGTGAGAATGCATTCATGATTCATGAATGCTCGAAATATCTCCAAGGTTTTGTGCCAAATATATGATATGCAAACGGAGCTCTTATATCTTCTGTGGCTCTCTCTTGTGTTGGAAAACTTGGGAGGATTTCAAGGGGCTCAAATTGTGTCACCACCATGATCCTAAACCAGAAATTTGAGAAGTTTTCTCTTGTTACTCTGTAACCATATCATGTCCTTAGTAGATTTATGATTTATATCAGACTGCATACTAAATCAAATTTTTAAGCATGAAAGTTATTTGATTTAAGGGCAGTGATTGTGGTGTTTTTGCAGTTTCTACTCTAATGAATGTTTTACGATTAGATCTGGATGTCTTGTAACTGCTGGAAATGCAACATTTAAAGAGCATTCTTTCCTCTAGACAGCTGGAATGGTGATGGTTACTGATTAGGACCTCTTGTCATGGGCACTGCAGATTACTGGTACATGCAAGTAACATTTTGGCTTTTGTTGGGATCCCACAAATCCCAATGTCAAATTATCTGTACATACACTTTGCTGAGGATAAAGGGCTCCAAGCAAGCTAGAATAGAGAATTAAAAAATACTCAAAATGGAGAACTTGTATGGTGCCATGGTTCCAGAGTACTCTATCACAAGCAAAGCACCAAATACAGATTTATAGCTGTTCAGTGGAGAGAGCATTGGCTTTTACCTGGAAAGAACCAACAGATCAACCCTTTCCATTTGTTCTCAATGCTCTTGCTGTTGTGAAAATGGTACAGGTTCTCTAACCTTTTATCTCTTCAACTTTTTTTGTGGAATTCTAGAACCTATTATACATGATTCTGACTAAAATTTATATACAGCTAAAGGAGTTGGTTGATGCAATAATCTACTGAAAGTCAACATATGTAGTGGAGAGAAACCGACAACAAGATCACTATGCACCTAAAGATTGCTCCTTGGGTGGTCTTAATAGCATCCATGAGGGTTATGATCCTTCCAACTAGGATGAGTATCAAGTTCACAAAGTTTATAGTTACTGACTACTAACATATACATTGAATATGCTGGAACTTATCCTCATGTATCTTATCTTGGAATACTACAGTTTTCTGTAAGTATATATTTATCTCACAAGAAAACAATTTGGTGAAGATGTTGATGGTGGAAACTAAATAATGAATGACATTAAACTGACTAAGATGTTTGTTACAGGGAATTAGCAGAGGATGGCATAACCAGAGAATTGCCCAATTGACCTTGTTTGTGATATTGGAAGTTATCTATGCATATTTGGTGAACAGTTGGGGTGAAGTCAATGACTAATTCATATTTGATATTTCTTCTAAACTTTAGTAGAAATTTAGAAGGAAACAAGCTTTCTGGCTTTCTTCCCCCAAACTCATGGTCAAGGAATATATCAACTTATTCAGGTTTGCTTTATCTCAAATTCATATTGGATTCAACACATCCATCATTCTGTTTGTTTTTGAATACTAATAATAATGTTGATTGAATTGATGCAAGTATGTGAGAGGAGAAGAAAAACAAGTCTGTTGTTCCACTGGAAGCATCGGCTGCAACATTTGTCTTCTTAACTGCAAGTACCTACATTTTGGTCCCTAGACGGAATAGACAAATAAATAAATGACAAGGTATGACCATATGTTTATTAACTAGTGTTGGATGTTCAATTAAGTCATTCAAGTGCTGATTTTTGTTCTAAAATTAACTAATAAGTTTTCCTGGCACACCTGTTCTCGTTGAACTTGACTATATCAGATGTAAAGAAGTTGAACGCTGAAAAAGAGAACAAGATGGGTACAATTACTTTGAAGTCAAAGAATGGAAAATTTACATGTTGTGAATTTGTGAAAATTACCAATATCTTTGAGAGAGACATCAGAAGAGGGCCATGGGAACACTTTGATGATTACTTAGATGATGGTTCTTAAGTAGCCTATAGCCATAGAGATGCTATCTCATCATCTGGTCAAGGGTACAAGGAGTTTCTTGTAGAGGTATGAACATTTTATCTCTAAAATACAGTTTGTGTTCATTCTCATGTCTTGAACATTAAGCCGTAACTCCAATGAGAGATTAAACTTCTTATGAGAGTTCATCATGCAAACTTGACAACCCTTGTTGGGTATTTATTCCACTCTAATTGATTTCTTTACTCAGGTCAATCAGCAAAAAATTGTCTCTGCTTTGTTTTCAAGCCTTGAAGAAAATTTTCATTGGAAAAGGAGACTCAACTAAAGAAGTGTTTCTCTCTGCAATTTGCATCAATACAATTAGTAAGTAATAGTTCATCTGTTCTGAGCATTGGATCATCCAAGAAGATTCCTTTGATAGGTTAAAGATTTACTCATAAAAGTGATTTCCTTTCCTGCAGGCCTTGTTTGCTGGAATATTTTCTAGTCCTCCTTAATTTGTGGGGTGACTCTTAATGGTTTGCAAGCTGAGTTGCAGTACAAGATAGCTGAAAACCTGAAGATACTGAAGTCGGAGTTTTCTCCCTCTTAACTGTCATGCTAATTTGAAAAAAGCTTGAGAAAGAGGTAGAATCTTGAGATTTCATTATGTATGCCTCCAGTTCCATCCAGGGAAGTGAGATTTTGATGTTGTTATGCTTTCCATCTAGAGGAAAACTCTGTTAAGTCTACAATTTTTCATAGTGGAGTTTTTTATCTGCACTAGGTCCTATTGTTTTTTTTTTTTTTTTTGGGTTTTTCATGTTAAAAATTCTTGGTGTTGATTTTACCATTGCTGTCGCTTGAACTTGATTACCTTGCCCAAAATTTCCCACAAATACTTAGATCAAATCCTTCAATTAACTTGCAAAAACACTGAGATACGGACACAATCCATTGGTAATTCTAGAAGTGTTAAATGCCATTGAAGTCAAATTACAAAGATTTGATGAAAAATAAAATAGATCAGCAATCACTCCCCCAAGCTGCCTCTAAAGTAAAATCTTTTGATTATCAAACATACAATATATTTGGAGAAGCTTTAAAGAAAAGAGGCTGAAGAAGAAGAACAGAAAAATCAATAGAGAAAGGAATTGGAGAAGCTTTAAGGAGTCGGGGCAGTAAAATACTTGAGAGCTCGTTTGGAGAGTTAGACAAAATATCGGATAAGATAAAAATTTATCTTAACCTACTTAATCCAATGTTTGGGGAGCTACTTAAGATTGGATAAATGGGGAGCTACTTAAGATTGGATAAACATTATCCAATGATTTATCCAATCCCATCTCCAAGAGATAAGTTGAATCCCACTATCCCCACGGGATACGAATGGATTGGATTAAATTTTACCAACCTTACTCCTTTTTCTCCCCACTTTCTTCGAGACTCCATTCACTCGCCGATGGCTTCCCGTCTCCTTTTCTTGACGTTGGTCCGGCGAGGTGGTGCTCCGGCCAGATCTACATCTTGAAAACTTCACAAATCTAGTGCAGCGAAAATAAAGTTTCTGCGGTCATCGGAAAATAGACTACGAAACTTGTTCGTCCGGCGAGGTGGCTGCATAGCTTCATCTACAAAAATTGAAAGGATTCTCTATTGGTAACCTTCATACATTACTCTTCCATTTCTCCATCCCAATTCAACCTATATTTAATTGAAAGCAAGTAACCCAGCTGAAAATCAAGTCGATTACCCAATTGTTGAAGAAGATGAACAATGCGAAGATGACTCAAAGACGAAGGGGGCTTTTCGGTTCTGTTTGTTTCCAACGAAAAAAGAAAAAGAAAAACAATTAGTAGTAATTGATAAATCAAATAATGGTACAGATTCCGTTTCGGTTAATTAATGGAAATTAATTTCT